TTAGTGTCCTAACACATGAAAATGGCTGAGAAAGCCACTAGGGGGACATTCTAAGCTTTTGAATGGTTATTCACATGTCATTTATTGAAGTAAGTGTACATATGGGACCGTTTCCAAAAAATGGAAAGAGGTGAGCAGGGTCACTGTGTTTGATTCATTACATGAGTGATATATCAGCAAATAAAAAAGATAAGAGGTTCTTATTTTATATTCTAGCTTGTGAATATTTGAAATTTGAGTTCCTAATTCGTACAAAACTATAGACTTAGTATTTTGACATCACAAACATCTAATTTTAACCAGCACTGCATTCAACATACCCTGTGACACACAAAAATCAATGTTGAACTGTGTTTTTTAAAATTTACTTTTAAATTAAAAAATTAAATAATTTAAAATACTAAAATTTGAATTATAATCTACAGTTTAATACCAAACTTATTGAGATAAATTCATGAAATAGTAGTTCAATGAAATTTTGAATATGAGTCAACAAATACAATGGCATGGCCTTTGACCCGTGACCCGTCTGGAGAGGGTTAATCATTAATTTAAAGTGAATGTGATTACATACAGGCAAATAACCATTGTGACAGTTAGATTTGGTTGTATGTAACTGTAAAATGTCATGTATTTTCATTGTTATGATAAGTACAATAAAGTGCTGAAGATATGTTTTAACAAGAGTAGAAAATGGTAGGACAACAGCAAAAAATGCATACCCATTTTGTTTTGTTGAACGGTTTCTGGTTGTGTTTTGTCTAGTATTTCATAGTCAGTATTTGTATCTGTGTATTGTGTGTGTTTTTAGGTAAAAACAAACAGTGTAAACCAAAAAGGCTAAGACTTTGAATGAAGTATATTTCAATTTCTCTGAATATATAACTGTTCTGGAGTCTCAGGAATTTTCTTCAAAAAGTTTCTAAAATCAAGTAACTTTATAGCTGTAGTATGATGATTACTTGAGTTTTAGCCTTAGTTATGATAAGTCTGTAGTTACCTACTCAAGAAATTTTACACTTCATACAAATATGTAGCATCATAACTGGAAGCAAACATCCTGTAAGTTTAGATATTAAAAGAGAATGGTAAATATATCTCCTTTTAGTATTTTCTGTTTCAAACTAGATACATAAATTTGTAAGTTGCTTGAATCATTCTGTAAATTATAACGTGTAATATCAGAATATTGTCCTCAGATACTTGTTGAACTTGCATTGTATTTAGCTATCAACTTAGGAATATTTTATGTTCTAGATTTAGCATGTATTATATTTTATTATAACTAACTTTTTTTACATGTAAAATTGTATATGTTGGTGAATATATGTTATTTATTGTCAGGAGTGGACTGGAACAGGATAACATGCAAGTATTATATATGTACCTGACACTATCGCTCATTCCATCTTTCCTGGAAACAGAGATTCAAGGTGGTTCTGTTATGCCTTCTACTAAAGTTGGTCTTGGATCTCATTATGGGAGGTATATTATTTTTATTAGTAGCTATTATTTCATATTGTTTAAATTAATAAACATAGCTTAGTATACATAAAATTATATGGATTTTTCTTTATATCAGAATGTACATAAAATTTTTATGTCATGGTGGACAGAGCTGGAAGATTAGTGGAATTTGCTAATTGATTAGTACACGCACAACCCCTACCGGCATGTCTGCACAATAGAAAAAAAATTTTGTCGATGTGTTATCGTCACGAATTATTCAGAAAGTATTTTGTTTCTGCTAAAAATGTTTCATGGAAACATAATACTTGGCAAATGAAGCACTACATGGTCACCATTATGTTTCTTTTTAAAATATGTAGGAATCTTGTACTAATCTACTGTAAATAAAATGATGGAAACATATTTAACTTTTACTATCACCATTCACATACTATTAATACTGTTTTTATTTTTAAAAATAAATCACAGTTAAATGTTGCTTGAATAGCATAAACATAAAAATAATACTCAATAAAGATTTCAGTCATCAGAATATTTTGCATTTGCCTATCATACTTGTCATGTTACCAAACAGTAAACTTAATTAACCTTATTTGGTAAACATAATTAAAAAAACTCATGTTTACAAACATTACAACTCAATATAACCATAAAAAACTTAAACCAATATATTTACTCTTATTATTGTGTGATAATTTAATTCTTGCTTTATCCATATTATCCAAACATATCTAAACTTTCTTTATAGCTGTTTTTCATTAGTAAATGATAAAACCACTTGATGTGTTACCATGAAAATATTTCAATGAAGGTCCAAGGTCTGTACAAAAAATAAAGGAAGCATTTGAAAATCAAGAAATGGATAATATATTTTCAAGGAATTATAGGCAAAAATATAGAATTTCTTTGGGAAGTGCAGAAAAATTCTAAAAAACAAATTGACAAGTGGGTTATTTCATTTACAGGTAAAGATATCAGCAGTTGTGTAGAATTAAAAACATCGATTCTCAAATACTTGTGGGTTAAAATTATTGAAATATATATATATAATTAAATCTTTCAGTATGAGCTCAGTCCCTGGGACCAACCTCATAACCATTTTGTGGTTGTTATAGTTTTCATGCTATAACTTTTAAATTAGTAAGCAAACGTTAACAAAATTTGTCTGATTATCAGTAAACATTACAATGCTTTCATATGCAAAATATATATTTTTTTATTAAGCATTAAGGTTTCTAAAGCAATGTTTCTCTCATGTCTTTTTTTCTTTTTGCATGTTGCCTATCTATCATGCAAAGT